CAAAAGACACAAACCTACAGATTTAGGAAGCTGAGTGAGCTCCGAATAAGAATAAACCCAAAGGAACACCCACCAAGACATATCATAAATAAACTTCTAGAAACTAAAGGCAAAGAAAAAATCTTAAAAACAGGCAGACAGAAATGATGCATTACCTATAAAGGAACACCAATTCAAATTACAGAGAACTTCTCATCTTGAAACCATGGAAGCTAGAATGAAGTGATACGTTTTCCAAGTGCCAAAAAGACAAATAACCCAACTAAAAATTGGGCAAAGGATTTGAATAGACATTTATCTAAAGAAGCTATACAAATGGCCAAAAAGCACACGAAAAGATGCCCAACATCATCACTCATTAGGTAAGCAGAAATCAAAACCACAAAGAGATACAACTTCACATCCACCAGGATGGCTATAATCCAAAAGACAGACAAGTGACAAGTGTTGGAGAGACTGTAGAGAAATTAGAACTCTCACATTGGCGGTGAGCGTGTGGAATGGTGCAGCCATCTTGGAAAACTACAGGCAGTTCTTCAACATGGTAAGCACAGAATTGGCCTATGATGCAGCAATTCTACTCCTAGTTATATACCCAAGAGAAATAAAAAATATGTCCACACAAAAACTTGTGCTCAAATGTCTACAGTAGCATTGTTCATAATAGCCAAACAATGGAAACAAATAAAATGTCCATCGACCAATGAATGGATAAACAAAATGTATATCCACACAATGGAATCCTGTTCAGCTATTTAAAGGAGTTAAGTACTGCTATAACATGGATGAACCTTGAAAACACTATGGCAAATGAAAACAGCCAGTCACAAAGGACCATATATTGTATGATTATGCTTTTCTGAAATGTCCAGAATAGGCAAATCTATAAAGACAGAAAGTAGATGAGTGGTTGCCTGGGGCTGCAGTGGGAGGAGAGGCAGGAATGGGGCATGTAATAAGCTGAAAAACGGCCCCAAAGATATCTATGTCCTAGTCCCTGGGACCTGTGCATATTACCTCATATGGCAACAAAAGAGTCTTTGCAGATGTGATGAAGTTAGGAGTTTGAGGTGGAACGATTATCCTGGATTATGTGGCTGGACACTAAATGCAATTACACGTATCCTTATGAGAGGAAGGAAGAGGGACATTGGAACACCCACACAGGAGAAGGTGATGTGAAGATGGAGCAGAGAGAGATTTGAAGATGCTGGCCTGGAAGATGGGAGTAAAATAGTCACAAACCAAGGAATGCTGGCAACCACCTTATACTGGAAGAGTCAAGGAACCGATTCTTCCCTAGGGTCTCTGGAGAGATCGAAGCCTTGCCAATACCTTGATCTTGGTCCAGTGATACTGACTTAGGACCTCTGGCCTCCAGAACTGTGAGAGAATAAGTTTCTGTTGTTTTAAGCTACCAAGTTTGCAGTAATAGAAAACTCATACAGGGTGTGACTGCTAACGGTATGCGGTTTCATTCTGGAGAGATGTAATGTTCTAAAATTGGATTGTGGTGATGGTTGCCCAACTCATGAATATGCTAAAAATCACTGAATGTGCACTTTAAGTGGGTCAGTTTTTTACTATGTGAATTATATCTCAGTAAGGCTGTCAAAAAATCTTTATGACCTTGGGTTAAACAAAGATTTCTTAGCTATGACACAAAAAGTATGATCCATAAAAGATGATATATTAGACTCCACCAAAATTAAGAACTTTTGCATCTGAAGATACTAATAAGATACATACACCTCTATGTTCACTGCAGCATTATACACAATAGCCAAGACGTGGAAGCAACCTAGGTGCCCATCGAGGCACGAATGGATAAAGAAGATGTCGTATATATACACAATGGAATACCACTCAGCCATAAGAATTGATGAAATCCAGCCATTTGTGACAACATGGATGGACCTGGAGGGTATTATGCTGAGTGAAATTAGTCAGAGGGAGAAAGTCCAATAATGTATGATCTCACTCATAAGTAGAAGATAAAAACAATGACAAACAAACACATAGCAAAGGAGATTGGATTGGTGGTTACCATAGGGGAAAGGGGAAGGGCAAAATGGGTGATTAGGCTCACAGGTGAGGGGATGGAATATAATTAGTTTTTGGGTGGTGAACATGATGTAATCTATACAGAATTTGAAATATATTACGATGTACATCTGAAAGCTATATAATGTTATAATCCAATATTACTGCATTTAAAAAGATAAAAAGTATAAAAAAGGTGAACTACAGAATGGGAAAAATATTTGCAAAGCACCTATTTGATTAAGGACTTAGAATATACAAAGAGCTCTCAAAATTCGATAAAAAGAAAACAAACAAAAAATGAGGAAAAGATTTGAACAGACCCTACCTCAAAGAAGACATATTAATGGCAAATAAGCACATTAAAAAAGATGCTCAATATCATTAGTCATTAGAGAAATGTGAAATAAAACGACAGTGGATACTACTACACCCTATTAGAATGAGGGGGGAAAATACAACGCTGAAAAAAACCAAAATGCTAGCAGGCTAGGGAGCAACTGCAACATTGCTGGTAGAAATGCAAAATGGGGCAGCCACTTTGGAAAACAATTTGTCAGTTTCTTTAAAATTAAATATCACCTTACCATACAACCCAGCAACCCCACTCTAGGTATTGACCCAAGTGAAATGCGAAATTCTGTTCACACAGAAACCTGTGTACACATATTTGTAGTAGTTTTGTTTGGAATAATCCCAAACCGGAAACCAGCCTAAATGTCTCTCGACAGGGATATGGATGAAGAGTTGTGGTACATCCATACAATGGGACCTGACTGAGCAATCAAAGGAACAGAGTACCGACACACCCAACACACAACATCGCAAACGCATTATATTTAGTGAAAGAAGCCAACTCAGTATGCTACATACTGTACCATCCCATTTTTGTAACATTCTGGAAACAGTGAACCGTAGAGGGAAAAGAACAAGATCAGGGTTTTCCTGGAACTGAGGGTGGAGGGTGGGGATGATTATACTTTTGGGGGTAATGGAATGCTTTTATAGCTTGATTATGGTGGTGGTTACAAGTCACTAGGGGTTTGTCAAAGTCCCAGGACTTCCCACGGAAAAGGGTGAACTTTACTCTATGTAAATTAGACCTTAATTTTTGCATGGGAGAAATAAATATAAATAAACAAAAAATATAGTGCTGTGTTAAATTATTTTGTCCATAAAAGCCTAACGTATACAATTTTACAGGTTTTGCTAAATCCTTCCAAATTTTCCTCAAGAAATGCTGAGTCCAGTTTATACTTCCTCCATCGGTGGAATGAGAGCATTTGGGTTCTGGCCAACACAGCTGTCCCAGTGGTCGCACCTTCCACAGAGCCTCACTCGGTGCTGGGCACACTGTCGGAGCCTAATGGAAGCATGGATTCCAGGTACATGAAGTCCCCACGAGAGATCAGTGAGATGCTCCACTCCGGAAGCCATTTACTGTTCTGATGAAGCAAAGGAAGGAAGATACCATGTGTGTTCAGAGGAGAAATAGCCTCTGAACTCAGGGACCTGAGGACTGGGGCAGACACTGAAAAGGAAGAGCGAATAAGGAACTCATGATGTCTCCTGGGAGCTGAGAGGTCTGAAGAGACAACTGCACCTCATTCCTGTACCCCCAGAGCCTAGCACCACGCATAGCACATAAGCTTGTAGGAACGAACGAACGAACGAACGAACGAACGAATGAATGAATGTTAAGAGACTATGAAAGTTTGGGGTGAGCAAAGAAAAAGCTCCCTTGGTTTGGGATTTGGGGGTTCAAGCTCAGTTTAACACTGTGTCCATGCAAACTTGAGGACTTTTATACTCCGGGTCCCATCTAAGGAGAAGAAAGTTGGCCCAGGTGAGTGGGGGGTGGGGCACACACTGTTGTAGGGATCCACCTGGCTCCCTGTACCCCTAAGGAGCAGATGACACAGCTCCTGGATGTCAGAAGTCTATCCTGATTCTCAGCCCTGGGGACTAAGTGAAGGGTGGGGTCTTGGCCAACTGCTGGGTCATTTCATCTGGAGCTGGGCGGCTGTATAGGCAAGATAGGGTTGATTGAGAGGAAGTGGAGTGGGCATGCCTGTGTGCTGGCTGGGGGCCAGATCTAGGGGAAGAAGGGGATGGGGGCGTGGTTTCTGGAGAAGAGATGGGGGAGGGGAAGCATTGGTGTCGCTTTAGGAAGCCTGCAAGGGGGAGCAGGAGTCTAGAGAGAACTGCTGGGTGACTGGAGAAGACGGTAGGAGGGGCAGAGAGAGGGATAAAGATAAGGAGACATGCGGGAGCAAAAAGAAGAGGCAGCTCGGAGGCGTGTGCTGGCACATGTTTGTGTGTGTGTGTGTGTGTGAGAGAGAGAGAGAGAGAGAGAGCTCCTCCCTGAACATGAACTTGATGCTCTGAGTCTTACAATCTGCATCTGTTTTCCTCATCACTCTAACGGGGACACAAATAAGATCGCATGTGAGTGTGGAAGAGGTTATTTGTAAGTGAGCGTGAGTGACTGTTGGCAGCAGCCAGGAGTCTGGAAGAGAGAGAGGCAGGGCACCAGAATGAATGCATTCTGTGAGGATTGAATGAATGAATGTGAATTTATAAGATCCTCCTTGTGAATGTACGTCTGTGAAAAATGCAGGGTCCAAGATGTCCCACCCCAGCCCCATAGCTCCTACCCCCGGTTCTCTGGACCCAGAGGATTCCAAGGAGGTCTGTACCTGAGGTTCTAGAAACTTCACACCAGCCCCCTAGAATCCTCCACCTCAGACTAGGAGGCACCCCTATTGGACCAGTTTCCGGGAAGGAATCAGGAGAGGGTAGGGAGTCTTCTGACCCTGAGAGCCCTCCCCGGGCTGGGGGGCCCCAGACTGGGTGGAGCAGCCACACCTGCCTGAAGTTTCGAGGAAGAGGGCGGAAACGGCAGCCAGCACCGCCCTCTCGTAGCCTCTGCGGGCCCTGCGGTCTGCTGGTCACAGCGTGTTCCACAACTTCCTCACTTCCCTAAATGGGCAACTTCACTTTCAGAACCCAGGTCCTTCCCCGGCAGACCCAAGTGGCACGTCCTGCATAGGCCCCGGGGGACTGTAACCTTGGATCCCTGGGCTGTTCCGGCCCCCTGCTGGGCTTGTGACTGTCCCCAATGGATGGAGCCATGGCTCCCGCGTTCCTGCTGCTGCTGCTGCTGTGGCTCCAGGGCTGTGTCTCAGGTGAGAGGCGGGTTGTGCTGGCTCAGCGGGCAGGGAATGGCCTTTCCTTGGGCCTCCCTCCCTGTTTTTCCTTGCCCAATGATTTTAATGTTTCGTGGGGTTGGGGGTGGGGGAGAGGTTGGGGCTGACCTAGTACCTCCTTACCAGAGACCAGTGAGAAGTTCCATCTTAATATCTAGCCCCAGGCAAAGCTAATTTAGGCTCGCAAACTAAGATAAAGCTCTGGACCCTCTCCACGAGGGCCCTTTTATCTGCTAGGCTTCCTCAGGACCTCTGGCCGGGGACACTCCATCTCCTCACACAAAGAGCCCCTCGGCCTCTGTCAGGAAAGCCCTGTTGGGTTCTTACGGGAATCATTGCACCATGTGTGTGCACTTTGAACTTGCCACCCCTGTCCTGAAGGCCTCTCCTACCCCACAGCTGCTGAAGCTCCTTGAGGGGGCCTCACCCAATCCTGCCTCCTCCACTGCCATGGCAACCAAGTTCCCACTTCCTGTTCAGCGTCGGGCACCGCTTGTGAGAGGGGTGGAAGGTGGGCACAAACAAACATGGGACCTGGAGACCGTTTCCAAGGTCGCCCCACCCATGCATCTCCCCTGACCACAGAGAGGCCTCTCCCTCTGCCAGGGCAGAAGAGTGTCTCCTGTGCTGAGCAATCCCGGGGCCCCCCAGAAGTCCCACTGGCCAGATAATTGAGTTGGATCATTCTGTTTAGTTTGCGTGGGACAAAGTGACGCTCAGAGAGGGTGTTACCTTACTCTGAGCCTTGATGATGGTGGCAGCTGGGTTGGCAACTGAGGCAGACGTCTTGGGTGCCGGGCCCTTGGCTATCGGAGCTCTGGGTTCCACTGGAGAAATCTAGAGCTCCCTGCATTTGGGGAGCAGAAGCATGCATTGAGCACGTACTACAGTCACGGCACTGTCCTGGGGCAGAGATCTCACAGCCAACCTGAGACAGTTAGGGAAACAGAGATGCTAAGTGATCTGCTCACATGGTTCATCAGTGGTAGAGCCAGACTTTCCATCCCTGTTTATTTAGACTCCAAAATGTGTGCCCTCTACTCTGTGCTACTGGGGAGAAACGTGTGTGTGTGTGTTTGCAGAAGGCTCTGGGGTATTGGAGGAGTAAGTGCTGGGCTTGTGTGGGCAGAGGGGTGGGGGACCCCACAGCACCTTTCTCCCTCTCCTTGTCCCGATTCACCCCCTCCAGTCCTCGTTCTCCTCTCTCTCCACCACACCGTGGGTGAGGAAGTCCATGGACCCCATCTTCCTCCCAGACAGAGTGCGACGCATTGCAGGCGGACAGTGAACCGCTGGAGAATTCTTGGTTTGCACTCCATTGGGAGTTTACAGGCATGTTTGGGCAGAATTAATCTCTGGGTTTTATGTAACTAGAATATTTTTTTCTTTTTTTTCCAATTATTTTTATTGAAATCATAAAGGCTTATAACTGTGTCATTTGGGGTGTACATCATTTGTCAATTTCTGTATAGCCTGCATCGTGCTCACCACCAGCAGTCTAATTTTTTTCCATTGAGGATATTTTAAAATTAAACATCACCTAGAATGAACTAAGACAACTTGCTGTTTAAAAGATGACTACAGTGCCTACTTGTGAAATAACTACCCTTAATTTTTGCAGATCCTGGATTTTCTTATCTCCCTAAGTTGTAGTGCTCCGGCATTTTGTGATGTAATGACCTGTGTTTGTGTCTGTGCATCTGTCTCATTGAGGGCAGGACCTGCGTCTTTCCCACAAGACCCTGAAGACAGGGCTTACCACTCTCCCATCAGACTAGAAAATACCGTGAAGAAAGGCCTGTGTCTGCTGGAGTTTCCTCCATTGGACTAGGTGCTCCCTGAGGGCGATGCCTGGGTCTCCACCATCAGGCTGCGAGTTCCCTGAGGGCCAACCTTGTGTCTTCCTCATCCTGCTAGGACTCCCCAAGGACACAGGACTACTGTCTTCCCCGTCAGTCTGGAAACTCCTAGATGGCAGGGCTAATGTCTCCTCCAACAGACTGGGGAGCGCTCCTGCAGATGGGATGTTTCTCCCGCAATCTGAGTTCCACGACAGCAGGGCAATAGCCACCTGCTCTCCCTTCACCAGGAGCTTTGAGTTTCCAGATGCCACCTTGCTCCTCTCTCAACAAGTTGTGTCTCCCCAGGTGTCCCTGCCGAGGGCGTGTACTCCAAAGTGAGGCACCTGGAAGGGGAGACTCTGTCTGTGCAGTGCTCCTACAAGAACCGCAAAAACCGCGTGGAGGGCAAGGTGTGGTGCAAAATCAGGAGGAAGAAGTGTGAGCCTGGCTTCCCCCGTGGCTGGGTGCAGGGGCCACGCTACTTGCTGCAGGACGATGTCCAGGCCAAGGTGGTCAACATCACCATGGTGGCCCTCAGGCGCCAGGACTCGGGCCGGTACTGGTGCATGCGCAATAGCTCCGGGACCCTCTACCCTCTGATGGGCTTTCAGCTGGAAGTGTCTCCAGGTGAGCAGGGCTGCCGAGGCACTGGGATGGCGTGGGGGGGCAGGGAGGGGGCCTCCCTGCCCTGCATGCCGCTAACGGCAGATATAATGAGAATAATAATTCATTAATATAGAATAATAACCCAATAATAAACCAGTAGTATGCTGGTGCACAGTAGGGTTTCCACACTTCTTATGCAGTCATCTTCATGGGCATTACTGTCCCCATTTTACAGATGAAGAAAATGGGACCTAAGAAGCCCTATGTGGCTCTGATCTCGTCCAGGGACACAGAGCTAGCAAGTGGCAGAGACAAGATTCAAACTCAGGACTCTCTATGCTTTGTGTTAGTCAGTCATCTGTTTAAGATCTATTCATTGAGCCCTGATCATGGGCCAGGCACTCTTCTCGGCTCTGAGGATACAGTGGTGAGCAAAACCACAGTCCTGCTGTATGGGAGACGACAGGTAGCAGACAAACAATTGCAGATAACAGTAAACGTTCATAAGAAAATAAAAGAATGCGATGAACTAGAGAGTAACTCAATGGTGGGGGAGGTGCTGGAGCACCGGGATCAGAGAAGACCTGCCTGAGCAGATGACATCAAGCAGGACCCTGTGTGGTGAGAGCTTTCTAGCTCTGTCGAAATGTGGGTGCTTCAAAGGGCATTCCATGTGGGGAGAACTGCACGTGCAAAGGCCCTGAGGTGAGAAGGAGCTGGGCCTGTATAAAGAAGGCCTGTGTGGCTGGTTCCTATTGAGTGTAGGGCCAAGTGATAGGAGATGAGGTCGGAGAGTCAAACAGCAGCTCTAAAGTCCATCATATGGAGTTTGAGTTTTAATCTGAGTACAATAGGAAGCTACTGGAAAGTTTAGAGGGGTGTTTTGCATCTTGTCGTAAAATTAAAATGGCTGCTGCATGGAGGATGGATTGTGGAAGGGTAAGAGCATGGACAGAGAGACCATTGCGGGCATCCTGGCTGGAGATGACAGTGTCTTGGAGTAGGATGTGAGCACTGGAGGTGGATAGGCTCAAATCTATGTTGTTCAGACTTCCTGCCCACCCTGTACGTTTTGGAGGTAAGACAGGATTTGCTCATGAGGGAGGTGAGCAAAAGGGAGGAATCAGGATGACTCCACGGTTTTCTATTTCATCAGCACGGTGGGTGATGGGGCCATCCATCAGGTGAGGTAACCCTGAAAGAGGAGCTGGTTGGGAGGAGAAAAATCAAGAGCTGTATTTTGTCACATTAAGTTCAGGATGCCCCCTAGACCCCCAAGGGGAGCAATGAAGCAGGCAGTCGATGGATCAGCCTGGAGCTCGGGTGAGAGGTCAGAGCTGGGGATATATTTGAATGTATCTCTGTAAAGATAGTTTAAAGTCTGGGACTAGACAAATCTATAGAGATAGAAAGTAGATTAGAGGTTGCTTAGGGCTGGTGGGAAGGAGAGGGGGATAGAGGGGTGATAGCTAATGGGTGAAGAGTTTCTCTTTGAGATGATGAAAATACTCTAAAATTGACTGTGCGCACAGTTGCCTGACTACTAAAACCCAGTGAATTAGACACTATAGACGGGTGTGTTATATGGAATGTGAATAATATCTCAATAAAGCGGTTAAACATGAAGGAGATATAAAAGCTCTCCCTGGAGTGTAGAAAAAGAAGAGAGGAGGGCCAAGGACCGAGCCCCAAGCTCCTCCGACGTTTGTAAGACAGGAAAGGAGCCGGCGAAAGAGCCTGAAAGAAGCAGCCGATGATTGTGAAGTTTACGATCCTCCCTTCCCTGTTCCCCTAACCCACCCGCATCCCCCTCTCCTGCTGGGTCTGTCTGAACTCGGGCAACTGCTGTCTCTAAGATGTGGAGTCACTCCTTCCTCCCCCCTCCAGTTCTGGTTTGAGCCCCGGGAATTAGTGAAACCAGTTTATCGAAATCTTAATAGGTAGGGATACGAACAGGAGATGGTTTTATTTTTCTCTCATCATATCCACCCATTGTACCAGGTCAAATCTCACTGTCCGTCTCTTAACGATGATTTGGGAAGATGCCAACTTTGCAGACATTTTCAGCTATTGGGAAATGAAACATCCTCAGCCCAATTAAAAACTCAAATCTTCTAGCAATGTAGGCTCTTCCATTGCCCCTTGAAGACCAGGTTTTAGGGTCCACGGCACCTGAAGCGGGGAACGGGGGGTGGCTGCTGCCTAACTTCCCCTTTCATCTCGGGGGATGGGGAAGGGGGAAGGTCCCCTTGGTGGCCTCCTCCTGGTCCTCCTGCTCCCAACCGCCTGTGGTACTGAGGCAGGACAGAAGGAGAAGAAAAGTGTGACTTACTGACCCTTGCCAGCGTTCTCTCTTTTGGACGTCACTCCTTTTCTGCCCAGCACTGTGAGAGCCACTATGAGGTGGGTGTCCAAATGCTGGCTCTCCCCAGGCACCCATGTGTGAGTTCTTTGAAGGGTCTTTGGGGGTCTCCCCACTGCTGAGCAGGACGGTGTGGAAGATCTGGCCGCAGGTCAGGCTCTTCCCTATCCCCACCCTCACCAATGCCACTTGTTCTGGGCCTTCCATGGTGACCATCTGGCCCTCAGGACCACATCCTTGCCATGCCCAGGCGTGGGATGCAGCAGCCCTCTCTCTCCCTCTCCCTGCTCCGATTGGCTTGTCCCTGCTGAGAGAGACCCAGCACTGCCCCCTAGACTGAGACCTCACAATGCCCACGAGTCCCTCCTCTTCCTCCATGCAAACGCCAGCCTTCCAGAAAACGGGATGGTAAAGGGCTGAGTTGATGGACAAGGGTATCAGGGCTGGTTTGGGTATCTCGTGTAAGCCCCCAGGGAAGGGTCTGACTCTGCTGCTTGCAGTGGTCTTTGGAATTTGGGCCTCTGACGTTTCGTTGTCCTCATCTCCAGATCCCAGCTGCCGATCATGGAGCAACTGGAAAAGTCCCTGTTCAACATCATATTAGAGAAATCTCTTTGACCCACAGGAATGAGGAGGGTCTGGCAGTGAGAGATGGGGAGAGGCAGGGGAGTGTCCTCTGGGCCCAGGTGGCTGACGGGGGAAGCTAAAGAAACCGTGAAGATCTCTTCCTTCTTTACTGTGCCTACTTCTCTCTGACATCATCTTCTGAACAAACACACATGTGGTCCCTCAGCAGAGCAGAATCCTAGGTCCAAGGTCAAGGATGGGAGATGAGGACAGGCCCTACCCCAGCATCCAGACAAGTGTGTGGGCTGCCAAGATCTGCTCCCAGCACCAAAGCCCCCAGCTCAGTCTAATGTTCCTCCCTGTCTGGTCCCTCAGCATCCACACCCAAGAGAAACACTCCTCCTACACAGCTGGCCAACATCTTCCAGAGTGGAATTGTTGTGACAACAGGCCAAGCCCCCACCTCAGGCTCTGACGCCCCTCTCACCACCAGTGTGACGGTGTTCACACCTGGACCCCTCACCTTGGCCAGACTCCTGCTCTCTGCTGCCTCAGGGACCATCAGACTGACCTCCATGACAGAACACAGCTTCATCAGCACCAGCCCTTCCACCACGGGGCCCCAGACAGTGACTGCATCTCCCAGGAATGCCACAGCTTCTTCTGACGGCCCAGCATCCACCTCCACCCAGGCTGGGCGCCTGCACGCCAGATTGCCCAGCACAAGAATGTGCCACACCAGCCAATCTCTCCTCAACAGACTATCCCCCATCAGGTACCTGTGGGTCCTGGGGTTGATTGCCATTTTACCAGATACGGCAACAGTTCTCGGTGCCTGAACGCATCTCAAGGTGCCAATATCATAGCAGACCTTTCCCTTTGGCCCCCAGGAAGTCAGTCTGGCCTGTGGCTGAATGGGAGACTGGGAGCTGAGATGGAGATGTGACATAAAGGATAGCAATGGGGAATGAGGGCAGGGGATGGCTGGGCACACGAGTCTGTGGATGGAGACGAGAGGCGAGGGACTGGACTAGGATGTGGCTTGGGGGGTGAAAAGTGGGAATCTTTCACTTTTAATTTAGGTTTTTCCAGAAGGAGATTCTGAGACCAGGATTTGTGTCCTATTTGGAACACTGGGAAGAGCGTGGGGAAGGGAAGGCAGCCAATGGAGCACTCAGTCAAGCCGGCTGCCACTCCAGAGCTCAGTCCACTGGAGAAACTCAGCTCCAGTGTCAAACTCCCACCTGAAGGGCAAGGGAGCTGGGGTATTTATACACCCACTCCTGACGGTCATCAGTAGAGGGTGCGAATGACAAGAGAAAGTCCTCAGCCCCCTCCCCCCAAAATGGAAGTGCTGAGGACCAGTGTACATGGAAGTGACAGAGGTGAGGGGATACAGGCAGGGCCCCTACAGCATCTGTCACAGAGGACAAAGGCAGGAGGGCCATCCTCAGTCACTGTGAGGAGAGCAGGAATCTTGGTCTTCCATCACAAGTGGGGTCTCTTAGAGTCCTTGTCCTCAGCGATAATGCAGGAGAGGCGCTAGAGTGGAGAGATGCTCCCCTCTCCCTGGAGACTTCGGGCCGACCTCTGAACGTCTCTCTTCCTTCTCCTATGGCTGGGTCCCCAAGGAAGGCCATCAGGGTTTCCCTGGTCTGACTCCTGTCGCCTGGCATGCAGAAAGATGTGGGTTGGGGTGGGGGAACTTGGTGCTCACCTCCTCCCCGCTCTGTCCCATCTCCTCCTCTCCTCAGGCACCAGGATCCTTATCCCACTGTGCTCGTTGGGGTGCTGACGGTCCTCCCAGTGGCTGTGATGCTGATCGTGGTCTATGGGTTCTGGAAGAGGAGACACATAGGCAGTGAGTAGAGGGCGGCCGGAAGCCCTCCCGACCCCCCGCCCCCACCCCCAGCCTCCCGCGGGCAGAGAACTGGGGGCGTGACATGCTTTCCAAAGCGCCCGACTGCACTCCGTCCCCAGGCGGTGTGTCCTTGCCTGTGTCCAGTCAGGACGACCGTGAGGCAGCCAGGCAAGGGAGGAGAGTGGCAGGCACAGCCTAACCCTCCGGGTTGACTTAGCAGGAGGTGGAGGGCGGAGCCAGAAGAGGGGCTGGACCGGCCCGGGAGCGCGCGGGCGGGGCGGGGCGAGCCGGAGCACCGCCCCTCTCCATCTCTCGCTCCGCATCCTCACAGGCTACAGCGTGTGCGGCGATCCCTCAAGATCCTGGAGGTACCCACCTGGAAGACCGGATCCTCCGTGGAAGACTACTTGGTTTGAGGCCACTTAGCTGTGGAGCAGGGAGCTTCTCCCAGAGGGGCCCCAGGAGGCCAGAGGAGGAGTGAAGAGGGGGCCTGTCTGGATCGGAGCCAGGTTGGGGGGCAAGGACTTGGGCAGCGCTGGACTCAGGCCTTCCCAGAACCGGAGGCTGCGCTTCACCCCCTCAGCTCCCCGGGCTGCCAGGAGGGGCCCAGGGAGGAGGGCACCAGGCAGGAAGTCCCAGAGAAAGCCATGAGGGGACTCTGCTCAGGTCACAGGCCCCCTGGCTCCTGCTGGATGGCAGAGAAGCCCAGTGGTGCCGATACAGACTAAGAACGTCAGCACCCGTCGGCCTCGGAAGCCCTAGTGTAGAGCTGAGGGGAGGGCAGGGGTGGACGCTGCCTTCTCCCCACCTGGGACCCTGTGTCCTCAGCTTCCCTCAAGCTTCCCTATGCGCTTGGAGAAGAAAGGGTCCCAGAGGCAGCCTATGTCCCAACGGCTGCGCCCTGGAGAAGAAGGAACAGTGATTAAGAGCTGGGGGTCCACAAAGGGGTCGGCAGCAGGAGACCCCAGAGCTGTCCAAGCCCCCCAACCCCCGGGCCATGCATCCTCTGACGGGCCCCTGAATGCGCCCCGCCCTGACTGCGGCGGCTTGTCCCTCAAGCCCTGGGAGCCAGCAGGACCCGCGCTCCCACTGCTGCCCCCTGCTGGCCGGCCCCTCCCGGGGCAGCTGTGAGCAGGCAGGCGAGAGCTGGTCTGCTGCAGGAACAGCCTGTGCAGAGGCTGAGCTCAGGGCTCTGTCCCCCAGATCCCCACCCAGGCTCCAGGTCTGAGCTCCCGGAGGGGACTGAGGGCCCTCCAGAGTCAGTCCCCGGGGGAGAGGCCACGGCTCAGAGACAGGGTAGATCCCCGCCCCCGGGACTCATTGTGCCCTGGGGAGAGAGGATCCACTTGTGACACAGCCAAGACAACTCAGAGCTGCCCACAGCCTGGAGGACTGCAGGGCCGGGAGGGGAGGGGGAGGATGGAGGCGAGGAGACTCAGCCAGGGACCCAGGGGCAGGAGGTGCCTGCTCCTGCCTCATCAGCTCGTGGCTCAGACTCAGCCTCTGAAGGCTGGAGAATATGGGCTGGATTCCTCCCCTGGAGGAACCTGTCCACCAGCCTGGAGCAACTGGAACATGCACCTGGGGAAATATGTGACATTTTCACTCTCGTCCCTGGGACAGGGACAGGGCCCTCCCAGGTGGGAGAACAAAGGTGACAGTCAGGAGAGTGACACAGCTGGGGCCTCGGTGGGCCGCCAGCACGGCTACTCCAAGGTGGATGTGGGGAGAGAGGAAGGGGCAGGGGGTAATCCTGGGGGGCAGCAGGGAGGAGGCACCCATTCCCTATGTCCAGGAGAGGGCACTAGAGGGGAGACACAGACTGAGGAACAGACCGACCTGGTGCCAGGGCGTGAGCATACACACACACACACACACAGTGACACCCATCTGTCTTCCCTATCAGGAGGGTGTGCCACGACCCTGGTGGATAACTAGGAGGCCACTTAACTCACCTGTGGGAAAAAAGCTCCCGGAGAGCCCCCTCCACTGTGACGCCACAACTGCACCCCGACAGCTCTGCCTCTTCTGAGAGCAGGATGTCGGTTGGGAGAGCGCTGCAGAGGGCTCAGGACTGGGACCCCGTGATGCCACCTGTCACTTGTGACCCTGTGCAAGTCACCACTGCTATTTGGTGTCATTTTTACTCTCTTGTGAAAAGGGAAACTAATTCCTACCTCTCAAGACTGTTTTCAGGATAAAACGAAATAATGTGAACCTTATACAACTAAGCAAACGCCTCATGGTTGTTGGTCCTCGAGTTCTTTTCCGGCTCTAATATTGTTGTCACATTCCACACTGAAGACCTTCAGACCCTATTTCTCTGTTTTGTCCTCGATTGGAAGTTGTTAGGGAGGGAGGAGGGGCACGTGGTCAGGCCCCAGGTGGTCAGGGCAGGACCCAGGCAGAGGCCTTCGGCTGCGCCCTGCTGTCAGGCCAGGTAGCTGTTAGGGACCAACCGTCCCTGTTTGCCCAGGAGGAGGGTTCCCGGAACCGGGGTAACCAGCACGAGCTGCTCAGCCATGGAGCCTGCGCCCATGTGACCTCCATGGCAGCAACACAGGGAGCCGAGAAGGAGGTTCAGACCCGGTACCCCGGCTCCCCAGCAACTATGGGCCTGGGTGGTGTCTTTGGACCTCCAGGCCTCCAGGACCTTTTGCCCCGAACTCCAGCCTCTCACTTAAGGGTGTTCTTACCCTTCTGCCTGGAGCTCCGGGAGGACCCAGATCCTCAGCAGATCCTGGCAGGGAGGTGCAGGGGTGGGGGTGGGGGGCATCAGACAGGCCACGGCGGCTGCCGCCTTTGGTGGGTGAGACAACAAAGCTTCCTGAGCAATAGGCTGAGACGATGGGACACACCTGTGAAGGCTTCCTGTCACGACCAAGAAAGGAACAAAGAAAGACAACCCAGCACCCACGGGATGTTTGCGCTGCGGAGCCTGGCAGGCCGATCTGTCACCACAGCAGACACACGCTCCCAACTGTGAGGCCAGCCAGTGAGCCTTAGGTTCATAGTTCTCCCGAATGCCTGCACAATGTGCTTTCCATCTAGATCACACTCGGTCAGTGGACACCAGGCTGTGCTGCCCAGCTCCTCCTGCAGGACTCGTGGACTGCTTGCCCCCGTCTTGGGAGCAGAGTGGAAGGCCTCCTCTGCCAGCCCTCCTTGGGGGCGGCTTCAGCTGCAGAGAGCAGCCTTGCCAAGGGCAGACCCTCTCCCAGGGCAGCCCACTGCCCCGACGCCCTGACCAATTGACACAGGGGTCTTAGACCCATCACCCACTGTCGCCCCATGCGAGTCCAGAAGGGTATCCTGGTACAGAACACCTCGCCAGGTAGCCTAGCTTCCTGTTGGCCTGGGGCAGCCCCACTTCTTCTTTTGCTGTCCTGGGTCCCCGGGCACTTTAACCCTCCTATGCTGATTTTCCTCTCACAGGCCGCAACACTGCATTTTACAGGGCTTTCCTTTGCTTTGTTGTTTTATCTATTAACTACAGACAGCCTGTGACAATTGTTTCTGCAGCTCATCTGATAACAATTATTTTTTAAAATGTGCTTGATTCGTGTGGTCTTTCAATAACTGTAACTATGGCCAGCCCTGGGGACACGGGGTGACCTGGGGGCGGAGGTGCCCCTTTCTCCTCCCCTCTCCTTCTGCACCTCTCTTCTCCTCCCCACCTCTGATGGTCGTGCCCCCAGCTTGGCTCTCCCCCACCCTTGCCAGGGACCTTCCCTACACCTCCATTGCTGAAAAAGACTCTCCATCTCCTTTCTCCTCTAGTCTCTGTGGAATTTCCCAATTCCCAGGTAGCCCTGGGCAGGAGGTTTCTGACCACTGGGGACCAGTGGGGCTCTGGGCTCTGGTCATCTGGGGAGGAAGGAGTAGAATAGAGGAGAGTAAGAGTGAGGAGAAATAGTCCTTTTTTTTTTTTTTTTTGATGAGGAAGACTGGCCCTGAGCTGTTGCCAATGTTCCTCTTTTTTTTTCTTTTTTTCCACAAAGCCCCAGGACTTAGTTGCATATCCTAGCTGTAGGTCATTCTAGTTCTTCTATGTGGGATGATGCCACAGCATGGCTTGATGAGCGGTGTGTAGGACCATGCGCAGGATCCGAACTGGCAAACCCCAGGCTGCCGAAGACAAGCTTGGGACCTTAACCACTCAGCTGTGGGGTGGCCCAGAAATAGTTCTTATTTCACCATAGTTTCCTCCTGGGCTTTCCCCACCCCAACCCCAGTGGGAGGGGGATGGCCTGACCAAGAGGAAGAGGCTGAAGAGAGCTGAGCAGTAGCTACAGAGTCCCCTAGAGTCTCAGTCCAGTCCCAGGCTGAGGTCTGTCCAGGCCCAGAGGTAGCATCTGCAGCTGGAGGGTCCAGCCTACAGGCCAAGACCTCCGCCTCCTCCCCAGGCATCCCACTGCCCCTCGGAGGCCTTTGCCTCCCTCAGCTCTTCTTCCCAGGCAGGCTGGGGTGGCTGCACCGAGTCCCCGGCTCTGGCTCCCTCTCCTTGGGGCTTCCCTGCTCCCTCGCTTCCCTCCCCTCACCCCAGCTCAACAAGAGAGCCCATGGCCTGGGAGGCCACACACCTGCTGTCACCTCTCCTGCTGGTGCTCCTGGCCTCAGGTGAGGGGCAGGTGAGGTGGGCAGAGGGAGGGGAACAGGGCAGGAGGAGGGGGAGATGGCTAGGTGAGGTGGGCATGAAGAGGGCCCTGTGGGGAAGGGCACAAGGCAGCTGGAGTTGTGGCCAGAGGCCGGTTTGAGGGCACCTTCTGAATGCAGACACACGGAGGGGGCTCCTGAGGATGGAGGCCCCATCTCATGGCTGTGCAGTGGCAGCTGGGGGGCTCCCTGACCTGAGGGTTTATTCTCAGGCTCCTGGGAACAGAAGCCAGAGATGCTGCATAAACTGGAGGGCGAGTCAATCACCGTGAGATGCCAGTACCAGTTCCAGCAAGGTTGGAACAAGATGAAACACTGGTGTAAGGTAATAAGAGAATATACTTGTGACATAATCGTCAGCAATGCCAGGATCCAGAAAGGGGCTCGACACTCCCTCCAGGATTATCCCAGGTCTGGCTTCTTTTCCGTCACCATGACTGAACTCAGGGTGGAGGACTCAGGAATCTATTGGTGTGGAATCGGAGAATCTTACAGGATCTTTGGTCTAAGAGCCATCCATCTGGTGGTATCTCAGGGTGAGTTTTTCCCTTCTTATCTGTGCTTCTCAGACTTTCTGAATCACAAGGTGTTAGAGCTGGAAAGAATCCTAAAAATCATTTCCTTCAACCTTCTCATACCCGAAAACTGGGGCCTCTCGGGGTTCAGGGCAGAACCAGCTCCAGAGCTCAGACCTGCTGGCTTTCGGCTGTTCTTCCTTCCCCATCGCACACATTTCCGTGAACATTTCTGTTGCTGCTGACAGAACTCCTCCGCTGATTTGTGGTAGCCATAAAGTTTCCTCAGGCTTCAGTGAGACTGGCTTAATGGTCCATCCCAGACATCCCTACCCCTGACCGAACCCCCAACCTTCTCTCAAAGGGCTGGGCTCAAGATGGGTCATGAGTAACTGGATGGGGGTCAAGAAATGGGGACAGACGGGAGATGGCCAGCTAGTGAGGCAGACATGAGACTTCGGGGATGAGGCTGGGAGGTGTGGTGGCCAAGGGCTCAGAGGGTCTGTGGCCTCACCCTGGACCTGCCCCTAATAGTTGAGAGACCTTAAGTCTCAGAATGGGAAGTTTGGGGTTACCCCTCTCCCGACGGCCGCACGTATTCCTCCCGAAAACTTCAGCATTGCCAAGTCCCCTGCGTTTCTCTATGACGGTCAGGGCTGGAACTGTGCCTTCCCGGCCCCTGGCCCTGCTGCCCAGCCTGCCCAGCCACTTGGTCAGCAGGGCACCTGGAGGATCCAGATCAGCTGCCCTGTCGTCCACCGCCCCACCTTGGCTCATTGCCCACTCTATGTAGGGCACGGGGCCAGGCTCTGAGAGGAGAATCAAAAACCTTGAGACCTCATGCTGTGCTGGAGGAGCCCACAGGCCAGCCAGGAGGACAGACACATCCATAAAGGACTGTGATGCAGGGTGGCAGGTGGCATAATGGAAGCATGTGGTATGGAGGCCAGTGAAGGGAGAGACCAGGTTGCTGGAGAAGGACAGAGGTTTGGACTCTCCTGGAGGACTTCCCAGAGGAGGTGACACCACATGGGCCTTGTTGGATGAGCAGGAATTTATCCAGGGGAGCAAGAAGGATTGGAAGGGAGGCATTAGAGATTGAAAGTGCATGACATGTTCAAAAATAATGAAAACAGAAGAGACTGCAGAATATATCCAATATACGAGTGACAGTGTGATACCTAATCGAAAGCCACATGCACTGTGGCACCTCCGCATGAAGGAAATCCAGCACGCCTCTGTGTGTGCAGGGCATACGGTGCTTCTCAGAGACCTCACCTGGTCCAGGGCCATGTGTGGGCTCCTCCTTCCCAGGCTTGGGGGCTAGAAGTGGGAAGCCCTGGCCTGGGGGCTAACAGACAGGAGTGCCCCCCTCATTGTCTCTTACAGCTTCAACCCTGCCCACCCCCAGGAGCACCAGGAGGACCACAGCCTGGACCTCTGCCATCAGCCCTGTCCTTGACAGGTACTGTCACCCCCTCCCCTGTCCTCTCAGAGCCCCATCCCCTCCTGCCCTTTGCCCACTCTGCCAAATGCCTCCATCTACCACGTTCCCACGGGCACCCAGCCCTTAAAGGATGAATGGGAATCAGACAGCTGCTTCCCGTCACTTCACCTCTTTGAGCCTCTGTTCTCTCATCTGCAAAATGGGGCCAATAACATTCCCAGCTTACGTTAGGGTTTCTTACCTTTCACACTGCTGATATTTGGGGCCGAATACTTCTCTGTCGTGAGGGGCTGTCCTGTGACTGTAGGATATTTAGCTGCCTCTAAATAGCCTCTACCCATTGGAGAGCAGTAGCCCAAACCTCCCCAGACCGCCCCGTTGTGGCAACCGTAGAGATCTCCAGACATCACCAAGTTCGCCTTGGGGACACAACTTCCCTGGTTGGGCACCACTGTTTTCCAGGGTTGTTGCGAAGATTAAATGAAATTGAGGATTCGAAGGGCCCTGTACTAGGCACGTGCACAAGGCTGCTTCTTTTTCCTCTTCCTCTCTTCTAGCCCTCCTCTCTCAGTACGAGAAGGGGAGCTGTCCCAGGGCCACCGGGGTCCAGGGAAAGGGCACACTGTGTAGTTGCTACAGCCCATGGCCTGATTTCCTCTACCCCTGTCTGAAGGTTTCCAGGCCCCCGCCCAGGACTGGCCTGATAGCTGTTTCTCTTCCTGCCTCCGCCCTCTCTCCACCCACCATCACTGTGGGTGTGAACCTTGGGCTCCTGCAAACCACAGCTCCCTCTTCCAGGCATGGCACCAGAAACCAGGTGGTGCTGGCCAAGGGAGCTGAAAGGTGTCCTAGAGCCACTGCCTCACCCCCTTTGACCCTTGACACCCCAGGCACCTTCCCGGGGAGCCTGCTATGGTATAAGAAAGACTACCTTTGTGCTCTTCCTTTGACTTAAAATGGGACCTGTTAAAATTCAGTGATTATGTGGCAGAGCTGTTTGCCAGATGACACCGGCATTCTCTGCATTAAGTGCAGCTCAGAACAAAGGGCTGAGGGTAAGGAGCTCAGACCAAGGACAGCTAGGGAAGGATCAGGCAAAGTGAGCACAGATCCCACAACAGGGGCCCAGAAGGCCAGTAGAGGGACGGCAGTCAGAAAGGGGGAAGGAGCAGACTGGAGACACGGTCAACATTCCCATCTTACAGGGAAGGAAACAAGCCGGAGATCGAAGGACACAGTGACACTGCATGGCTTATGGGGCAGAGCCCTTGACCATGAGGCTGCCCTGCGGCCAGCTCAGCAGGAAAGTCTGTCCCCAGGACAGGCATGGGGACGGGGTGGTGTCACAGCAGAAGGTTGGCTCTGACCTTCCTCACCTGGCTGGTCCTTATTCCAAAGCCCCACAGATAACTGGAACGTCATCTCGGGCGTGGTGGTGGCCGTCCTGCTGCTGGTGCTCACCCTCTTCCTGATCCTATACCTCAGGAAAGCCCGAGGAAGAGCCAGGAAAGGTAAACCCCCGCTGGCCAAGCAGACCAGCGAGTGCTTAGCCATGATAAAGCGCCCGCGAGCCATGGGGTCAAGGCTTATTGTGCCCATTTTTTTTACCAACAAGGAAACTGAGGCCAGAGGTGACGTGGCCAAGATCCCCTGGGCTCTCCAATGGCTCCGCTCCTGCTTTGCCAGGGCGGCAGGGCCCACAGTGCTGAGGACGGGCCAATTCTCTTTTAGTCTGACTTTCGAGGTCAGCTTGCCGAAAGCCACTTCATCTCAGTGCCAATTTGCCCAAGGCTGGTATTCTAGGACCCATTAGGGATCATCTATTTTACCATCTTTTTTTGGGGGGAGGGTGTGAGGAAGATTGGCTCTGAGCTAACATTTGTTGCCGATCTTCCTCTTTTTTTGCTTGAGGAAGATTAGCCCTGAGCCAACATCTGTGCCAGTCTCCCTTTATTTTTTTTTATTTATTTTTTTATTTTTTTTAAGATTTTATTTTTTCCTTTTTCTCCCCAAAGCCCCCCGGTACATAGTTGTGTATTCTTCGTTGTGGGTTCCTCTAGTTGTGGCATGTGGGACGCTGCCTCAGCGTGGTCTGACGAGCAGTGCCATGTCCGCGCCCAGGATTCGAACCAACGAAACACTGGGCCGCCTGCAGCGGAGCGCGCGAACTTAACCACTCAGCCACGGGGCCAGCCCCCTAGTCTCCCTTTATTTTTGTATGTGGGACGCGACCATGGCATGGCTGTTGAGTGGAGTAGGTCCACACCTGGGATCCAAACCCGCCAACCTGGGCCACCGAAGTAGAGCGTGTTGAAGTGTAACCACTATCCCCTGGGGCTAGCCCCTATTTTGCCATCTTTTCATAGTTATGGACTTTTTAACAACTCTATCTAAAGACCTTTCAGGTTACCAGTATTGTTTTTTAATTGTTGCTATCATTTTAACATTTTGTCTTCCTAAAAGCAGTTGGAAGACTTTTTAATCTTCTAAGTTTTAAGTTTCTAGCATTAATCACATGTAAAATCTACAGCATTTTGCACAAGATTTCTCAGATTAGTGCCTTTTGGTGATTCCTGCCTCGTTTCTGTTGGTCAGTCTGTCCAGCACGTAAGTGCTGGGTGTCTACTAACCACATAACCCAGGGATGTGTCTGTTGACAGCAAGATTGGAATGTGGGAGTGGGCGGGTCAGAGTTATACTGGACCTCATGGATTTTAATTTTTCAAGCTATAAAAATACTAAAGTAGTAGTGGATTGTGAAACTTTATTTATATATTTTTCAAACCACATAAAGTCGATTTAGTGGGTCACAATAGTATTTTTATAAAACAAAATTCAAAATTATTTGCACATTGGAAGGATAAGTATTTTTTTCATTGAACTTTTATTTTAGGAGTGTTTGTAGGTGTGTGTGAGAGAGAGAGTGAGTGTGTGTGTTTGTATATGTGGTAATAAGATAAAATGTTTTTCATTGTGGTTCCTGGTCCAAAAATTTTGAAAGACATTATATATAACTTCCCCAGCACATAGATTATACTTCACCTTGATGTTTAAATTTGGAACTTTCAGCGACCTGGAATTGATTGAGTTTACCGGTCTTAGACACATTAGCTTCAGGCAGTCAATGTGATTGCTCCCTGCATCCCTGGACACTCCTCTGTACTTTCCGCTTGGGATGTCCCCCGGCACCACGGCAGGTCTTGACCAAGCCCCTGCCCATCCCCATTAGGGATCTCCAGCCACCCCGTATTTCCATGGGAGGTGGGTAGGGAGAGGTCCCTCCCCCAACCTTGACTGTTTTCCTCACAGGTGAGGATGAATCCCACCACAACTATGACAACATTTCAGCCCAGGAGGCAGAGTGTCCTGTGCGTAGCAAGGACCCGTCACCAGGACAGAGGGAATCTCAGCTTTCCAGGGTAACTTGGTTGTCATCGTTGTTTTTATTTAACTTCCTGGCTTGTGTTTGCTCATAGTTTCTGTTTCCCCTGAACCTGGACTCACTCCTGACTCCTCACGCCCCTGCTGCCTCACTGACTGCGTCCTTTCCCTTATTTCCCAATTCAAATCATGTAGACAGAAAGAGAACTGACTGACTCAGCTTTTGACCATCACTCCCAGGAGTTACAGCTTTTCACGTGGGCCCATCTCGTGGGTCATTAGCCAGCTGATGGCTCGGCTGCCATTGGTCCAACGAGCTGCATGGAAGTCTCGCGTGATAAAAGACATGGCTCCCGAGGGTGCTTTCTCATTGGGGGCTGGAGACTGGGCTGTTTCCCTTGGGTAGGTCTGTCTTATTAAGGGGCTGAGACTCTTGAGATCACAGAATTGCAGGATTGGGAGGCTCTAAAGTCGTCTGGTCCAACCCTCTGTATGGCTGGAATCGACTCTACGAATGACATCTCTACCAAGAGCTCTTCCAGCTCAGCGCTACTCAAACTTGAGCGTGCACAAAAATCCCCCGGAGAGCTTGTTAAAATAGAATTTCCTGGCCCCCACTCCAGAGACCTTGCTTTAATAGATCTGGGGCGGAGCCTGAGACTGTGCATTTTCAACAACCTTCTGGGTGAGCTGCTGGTCCATGGGCCACACTCTAAATAGCCTTCCTTATTCTCAAGCATGCTCAGTGATGGCACCCTTGCTGACTTCTGCCATTCCCAGAGACTCTGCAGGATCCATATCCTGTCCCACACCTTAACCCTGTCCCTGCCCTCTACTCAGCTCTGGGACCCAGGGGGCCACTGACCACTCCCAGCTGTGATCCATACAATGAACACCTGTCTTCTTTGCTTCCCAGGGCTCCGATCAGCGGATGGGCTCCAGCGAGGACCCCGGGGCGATCTGCTATGCCTCACTTATCCACCTGAACCACCTCGGCCTTGAGGACTCCATCTATGTCAATACCGCCCCCAATCCGAAGCCCACGCCTGACCCCCTTCTGGCTGTGGAATATGCCAGCATCGCTAGAAACAGACCCCAGCCCTCCAAGTCCGCAGCCCTGGAGGGGGAACAGGACCTGAAGGCAGAATTCACTGGGCAGTGAGCACCTATCAAATGCCTGTGAGGCACAGGGCTGCTCGACCAGCAATGGGGTGACTTTAGTGTGGCACAGACGGTCCCAAACCTGCAAGAGGTCACCCCTTCCTGTAAAGGAGGTGAGGAAGGGGGAGCAAAGGAAGGAAAGTCCTGGTCACCCCAGAGGGGAGAAGCTTAAGTGTGAGGGCTTCAAGGGGCAGGCTGTGGGGACAACAAATGGGGTTTAGGGACACCTCCCCACTCGCCTCCCCCGGGTCTGGGACCCAGAGCCTCACCTCCCTCTCCAACACTCACTTCCTTCCTGATCAGGGGCTACGAAATCCTGACAGATTGTGCAAGTTCCTCTACTGGTGGCTGTCTCTGCGAGAGTCCCCTCCCTTAACTGTACTCTCAGGGCCTCTAAGCCAAGCTGGAAGGTTCCGTCTCTCCCAGCCCAGATCCCCCTCTCCTTCCTGGCCTCCCGATTCTAAATAATCCTCACTAAAGACCCTGCCAGGACATAGGCAGTGCCCACCACTCAGGGGTCACCCCTCATCCTGGGCCTTGCTGGGCTCTCACAGGGGAGCTTCCTTCCATCTGGCGCCCACATGGCTCCATCAGAACTGACTTGGGCTCCTCTGCCTCCGCGGAAACTATCCTCCACTCTGCTAACTGTGTCTCGGTCCAGCAGAGGAGGCTGCAGGACACCTCCTGCCTGGCTGAAGCATAATTTCACAGGGCCCTTCTGGAGACAGAAGGTAATGTGTGCCCCCAAGGAGCGACTCTGAACTCTGGGAACTCCAGGCCACGTGGGCAGGAGGCTTGTGTCCTGCCCCATCGTGGGCAAGGTTCCTTGGAATTGTGGATTCATCGTTTCTCAAGGGAGTGACATTACAGGTCATCGAATCCAACTGCCAATGGCATGTGAGAACCCCTCTGTGAAACCCCGGTGAGTCATGAAGTCTCTGCTACAACTGAAGGACAGGGGTCTCACCACCTCCTGCTCGGGCAGCTCGTTTGTGAATGTTTTTGTCAGACGGACCTTGCTTCCCCTCAGTGACAATGAGACATCAGCCTTGCCCACAGATGGGACCTGAGGGTCAGGTTGCGTCATGGCCAGAAAGAGAGTGAGGAGTTGGAGAGAAGGGTGGATGGTTTGAGGTCTGGCAGGCTTGTGTGCAAGGCTGAGGTCTTCCTCTGGGAAGAAAGTGGCAGGAAGTGCCTGTCACTTGTGACATCTCTGCTGCCATCATCCACCTCCCAGGTTCCTAGTGTTGAGGATTTGGTTCTGTCCCCAGTCTGTAGCTCCCTGGGGACACAACTGATGGGTGCAGACCTGCAGGACCAGACACTGGGGTGGAGGGAGGCGAGGAGCAGGGAGGGAGCAGGATGCTCTGAGCATCATCCTGGCTCCTCAGGGGTCTGTCCCAGCCTTCCTGCCTGAGTCCTTCTCCTTCCAGAGGCTGGGCAATTGCTGCACCCTGACCTCCCACCCAACTCGGTCTTGCTCTGAGAAGGTCATTGGCACTGACCTGTGCCCTCCTTTGACCTCTGGTTCTTCATAGTTCCAGGCATCTGACAGCACCTCCACTCTCGGTCTATATTTTAGCCTACCTGCCCACTGGGCAAGCCCGTCTTTATCATGTTCCCCCCAACTTGGACTTCCCGCCTGCATTGCTCTGGCTGCAGTACCAGGAGACATCCCAGGGGTCAGCTTCCTCGTGAACTGTTAAAACCCAAAGGATTTACTCAGCCTAGAGCTCCTGGGGTTATTTTCATTAGACAAGTACTTATGGGTGCCTCCTGACTGCCAGGCACTGCTCAGAATTGGGGATCAGAGGTTAACAGAGTAAGCCAGCATTGATGGAGTGCTTCTTCTGGGCCGCATTCCTCTACATGCATTAATGGCTCAAACATCCCTCTAAGTTAAGTACTTGCCTCCATTTTATAGATGGAGAAATTGAGGCATAGAGAGATTAAGTGATTTCCCAAAGTCACACAGCTAGTAGATGGTGGATCCTAGACCCTGAAGTGTTAACCACAATGATTCTTGGTCCCCGTTACTGTGAGGATCTCGTTGTTGTGTGTGTGTGTGTGTGTGTGTGTGTGTGTGTGCACGTGCACATGTGTGCATGTGTTGGATAGATGTATGAAAACCAATGACAGTACAAAGCAATATGGCTACAGCTAGAGGAATGCTCATGGTGCTAGGAGAGAATGGGCGGGATGCACGACCTTTTCTGATAGAAGCCCCAGGAGCCATGAGAGGATAGTAAGAGTGCAGTTGACTCGGCTAGGGAGTCCAAGGGAAGAGTTTCCCAGTTAACTGGGGGCCCCAGATAAGAGGACTTGAGCTCCTCCTGCCCGCCCTGGCCCAGGGAGAGGGCTGCCCCTTCGGCCACCAGCAGAGGCCTGGAGGCACCTGCCAGAGCTGTGGCCTCAGGGATGTACACCTTCCCCGCATCTCAGCACTGAGGCAGCCATGGCAACCAAGCCACCCCAAGACACGGGCCCCACAGGAGGGGGTGCTGCTCCTTGGCCTTTGGACGTCAGCAGGCTTTGGCCCCATTGCATATGCCTGAGCTCCCCACCCTTTGGGCACCATCCTTCTCCCTGAGGGCTGCCCACCCAGCACAACATGGGGCCTGCCTTCGCTTTGCCCCTCACGCTCTTAATGCACATGATGCTGTAGGTAAAGATTTTATCCATCGACTCGCCTATTTTATCTTTTGATTGTTGTTTTAAGCCACTAAGTTTGTGGATAGTTTTTCATGCGGCAATAAACAATCAAAACAAATAGCCAAGACAAATTTGAAGTTCAAAGCCATGGGGAAAGGAGATGACTTACCTGACCAGAACCCAAACCTCACTGTGAGGTTCTAACATCCTGGAATAGAAAGTCCGCCAGGGCCACTGAACCAAGAGGTGAGGAACAGACCCGTGTACAGAGGGAAACTTGGTATTTGCCAGGGCAGGCACTGGAGTCTCGGGGAAGAAGAGAATGTGTCATGGCACAAATGTCTACCCACACGGGGAAAAAGAAAATTAGATTCCTACCTCTGTCTTACGCGAAAATAAATTCCAGGTGGATTATAAACCTAGATGTCAATAACCAAACAATAAAATGTTTAGACAAAAACATAAGAGTTTTTATGACTTTAAGATACAGGAAGATTTCTGCAGCCAGACGTCATAAGCACCAATCAGAAAGGGGAAACGTGACATTTGACTGTATTAAGATGGAAACTTCAAGACAAAGGACGACACCAGAAATTAAGTGGAAGAATGAGCCACAGACAGGCAGATGGCATTTGTAATGCACGGGACTGATAAAGGATTAGTAGCCAGAATTTAAAAATCAATAAAAAAGGATAAGCCATTTTTAATTGGCAAATTATAGGTTAAAAAAAATCCCACACAGGGAAGTTGAAAGACACTAATGTTCAACGTCATTAGCCATCAAAGGAATTCAGATCTCAACTAGATACATTTATACTCAGTGTATCAGTAGGGAGCTTCAAATATGTCTGTAATGTTTTATTTTTTAAAAAACCCAAACATGTATACATATATATATATATATATATATATATAACTCCTCTAGGACCTCAGAGCCCTCCGCTGGACTGTCTCCCTCTGGGCAGCAAATAAGAGAAGAGAGAACACTGAAGGTTGCACAGGCAGCTTTAAGGGCCAGGCCTGGGAGGAGCAAACTTCATTTCTTCCAGAACCCAGTCACTTGGCCGCTTCTCATGCAAGAGAGGCTGGATGAGACAGCCTGGCTGTGCTCTCAGAGGGAAATAGTTTGATGAACAACTATCTAGTCCCTTCCAAGAATCAAGACATGTGAAATAAGAGTTCTTAATGCTGTAAAGACATTCCATGCACATGAATTGAAAGAATAAACATAGTTAAAATGTCCATAATACCTAAAGCAATCTACAGATTCAATGCAATCCCAATCAGTATCCCAATGACATTCTTTACAGAAATAGAACAAAGAATCCTAAAATTCATATGGGGCAACAAAAGACCCCGAATTGCTAAAACAATCATGGGAAAAAAGAACAAAGCTGCAGGCATCACAATCCCTGACTTGAAAATATACTACAAAGCTATAGTAATCAACACAGCATGGTACTGGTACAAAAACAGGTGCAGAGATCAATGGAACAAAATGGAAAGCCCAGAAATAAAACCACACATCTATGGACAGCTAATCTTCGACAAAGGAGCTGAGGGCCTACAATGGAGGAAAGAAAGTCTTTTCAATAAACGGTGCTGGGAAAACTGGACAGCCACATGTGAAAGAATGAATATTGACCTTTCTTTTTCACCATTCACAATAATAAATTCAAAATGGATCAAGCACCTAAAGGTAAGACCTGAAACCATAAGGCTTCTAGAAGAAAATATAGGCAGTACACTATTTGACATTAGTATTAAAAGGACATTTTCGGATACCATGTCTTCTCAGACAAGGGAAACAATAGAAAGAATAAACAAATGGGACTTCATCAGACTAAAGAGCTTCTTCAAGGCAAGGGAAAACAGGATTGAAGCAAAGAAACAACTCACTAATTAGGAAAAAATATCTGCAAGTAATATATGCGACAAAAGGTTACTCTCCATAATATATAAAGAACTCACACAACTCAACAACAAAAAACCAAACAACCTGATCAAAAAGTGGGCAGGAGACATGAACAGACATTTCTCCAAAGAAGATATACAGATGGCCAATAGACACATGAAAAGATGTTCATCATCACTGATCATCAGGGAAATGCAAATCAAAACTATACTAAGATATCACCTTACACCCCTTAGAATGGCAAAAATAACCAACACAAAAAGCCACAAATGTTGGATAGGTTGTGGAGAAGAAGAAACCTTCATACACTGCTGGTGGGAATGCAAACTGGTGCAGCCACTATGGAAAACAGTATGGAGATTTCTCAAAAAATTAAAAATAGAAATACCATACGACCCAGCCATCCCACTACTGGGTATCTATCCAAAGAACTTGAAGTCAGCAATTCCAAAAGTCCCATGCACCCCTATGTTCATCGCAGCATTATTTACAATAGCCAAGACATAGAAGCAATCTAAGTGCCCATCAACTGATGATTGGATAAAGAAGATATGGTATATATATACAATGGAATACCACTCAGCCATAAAAAAAGAATAAAATCATCCCATTCACAACAACATGGATGGGCCTTGAGGGTATTATGTTAAGTGAAATAAGCCAGATAGAGAAGGACAATCTCTGTATGACTCCACTCATGTGTGGAAGTTAAACATGTAGACAAAGAGGACAGATTAGTGGCTTCCAGGGAAGGGGGGTAGGGGTGGGCACAGAGGGTGAAGTGGTGCACCTACAACACGACTGACAAACAATAATGTGCAACTGAAAGTTCACAAGGTTGTAAACTATCATAATCTCAATAAAAATTAAAAATAAAAAGTTCTTACTGCAAATTCTAAGTCTTGGGGCAACTTCCCTAGGGTTCAGAAGTTTGGCCTGTCTTCTCTTTGCTAACTGCTACCACCTCTTCTCCTGCGTGAGCTTCTTTCTCTCCGGAATCCTTGCTGGATTTCTGAGAACAAGTCCCTTCTTCCACCTCCTGCAGCTGACACATGTGTAACCAGCATACAAGCTGGACATCTTGATGTTTCTGTCTTTTAAGGAGTTTCGTTAGAGGAAATCCAGGCTGACACCAAAAGAAGGTCATCAAAATCATCTGAAACTTTCCTGTGTCCCTCAGGGAGACACACAAGAGCACATTTTCAAAGTCCGCATTTATCTGGCTGGCAATACCTGGCAGCTACCTTCTCACTCACATCCCCCAACCACATCTCTCCTTGAGCCAGTCTTCCTGGCTCGTTAGTCCTTTGTCACCCACCAGTGGTCATTAGAGTCTGCCCTGAAGAAGCCATGTCCCCTCAGCCAAAAACTTAGGAAGTACGGATCCTCCATATCCCTCTGGTCCCTGATATTTCAGGTCTTGTCTTTTAGGAGTCGAGATATTCGAGGTTGTGGGGATGGTTTGGAGATGCGGGGCAGGAGGTACTAAAGGTGGCTTCTTTAGACCGTAGCCTTGGAGCACAAAGGGAGAGGACCGCAGGCTGGAACTTACTACAGCTAGTGACGTATTGAGATCTGCTTCCGAAGGCTCCACAAAACATTAATGTTTTAAGAGATGTTGGTGAGTGTCACGTGAAAATAATCCATGCTAGTAATGTATTTTCTCCATATATTTTAATATAAGGAAAGGTAAGTTGTGCTTGACACAATTTGCAAGAGTCGGTTCTTAGAAACTCTCAATCTCCATTAATAGGAGGCTGATTAAATAAATCATGCTATACTCACACCAAAGAATATTATGTAGACATTACAAAAAGCGAAGTGAAACTCTGTTTGATATGGAAAGATGTTCTGGGGATGCAGTAAATGAAAGAATGCAGCCCACAAAATAATGCACCCAGCATGAGCTCGTTTGTGTTTGTGTCCCTATGTGTGACCAGAGGAAAAAGACTAGATGAACATACACCAATGTATTACTAGCGATGATCTCTGGGGCATGGATTAGAGGAGTAAAGGAAAATTCCGCTCCATAAAATCCTTAAGGACTGGCTCTGGAGCAGACCACTCAGATCTCAAGCTAACTTCCACCTTGTACTAGCTGTGTGATCCTGGGCAGGATGTTAATTTCTCTGGATCTCAGTTGCCTGGAAAAATATTGCCTACTTCCTAGGTGATGATGTAACACGCATAAAGTATTTAAAACAATCCTAGCACAAAGTAAGTTCTCAATACATGCCAGTGTGTGCTAAGTGGTGGAATTATAGACAGCATGCACCTTTCTAGAATGAACTTTTACATCTTTGTCACATAAAAATTAATTACATATTTGTCACAAAAAATACAGTTTTTAAAAGATTTAGGAATTGCTGAACACATTTTCTATAGTTTTCTTGGAATAGACATAATCTCTCTTTTAGCTGTGCCCCGCCTCAGTGTGGCAGGTGATCCAGGGGGAAATTGCCTGTGGCTTGAAGCTACAGTGTTTCAACTGCACAAGAAGAATTTACCAAGTAGCTGTTGGTATCATTGAGGTACGTCATCTACTTAACAAGCACTGCTAATCTTGAGTCTTACCATTTCAATTCTAGGTCTTTAAAAACTATCTCATTTTTCTAAATTACGTTTTATAGATTCTGCTTAAAAGTTTTGGGGAAATTGATTAAATTTTGCAGCAACAGATTTGTCTTTAGGACTATTTTGCTTTCTGCTCTAATTCAAGCACAAATGATAACTCCAGAGCCCTTGCTGATGTCTCAGGAACTTAGAGTAATTTTTTTTTTTTTTTGAGGAAGATTAGCCCTGAACTAACTGCTGCCAATCTTCCTCTTTTTGCTGAGGAAGACTGGCCCTGAGCTAACATCCGTGTCCATCTTCCTCCACTTTATACGTGGGATGCCTACCACAGCATGGTGAGCCTAGCGGTGTCATATCCGCCGCACCCGGGATCTGAACCAGCAAACCTGGGGCCGCCGAGAAGCGGAATGTGCGAACTCAAACACTGCCCCACCAGGCCAGCCTCTAGAGTAATTTTAAAAGGGTTTCATGGCCAGATGATGTTAAGATGCATATTGGTTTTGGGATTTATTTCCTTGTCGATCCTCAATTGCCCAGTGTGCTCTGGGTATAGAGGAAAGGACCTGTGACCTCGCTCAGGCCAGGGCATTACAGGGAAACAGTGCCACCATGTGGCGTCCACTCAGTGCTGGGGGTGGGAATCAGTCCCTCCCTGGAGGAAGTTTTCTTCCTCTTAAGAAAGGCTGCAATTCTCTAATAATCCTCTTTCATTTCTAAGGCTTAGGCTTCTGGCCATAGCAAGACCAATCTTCAGTTGGCAGATCTCTGTGGTCAAAGCCTGGGCGCCCATCTCCACTCTGAGGGGCATCCTGACTTGTCAACTCACACTCAGACCGGAACCCAAATGTGCTTTTCTGGCCTTCACTCCTTAAACCTAGGATATTGACCTTCCAGAATCCAGGAGCTACAGATTTACAATATCAACATCACTTCCTCGTCCAAAATCAAAGAGGCAGTGCCTCTTTTGTTTATT